GGAAAACCCCTAGATTCTCGGTTATAACTAAAAACTTCGTCACCAAAAACAAAACAACATGAACAATATTACAAATTTGGATAAATTTTTGGCAAGTTTCTACTTCCCAAGTGGATCAATTCCCTTCAAAGTGGTGTTCTGCATTCACCTACTTCGATACTAAAGTTGTTGTAATCATCATTTATTTTTAAGCAAATTAATAACACACACTCTTACTAATATATATTAACATCCAATCTTTATGCTATTTCAACTTTAAATGGTTTAACAAAATTCGAAATGTTCATTTCTTAAACAAAAATAAACCACACAAAAATAAAGAAGCCTACCTAGTGAGTAATTCTTATATTACTCTCAATAAATTCAAATCAAAAAATTTATCAAAATCAAGGGCTAATGCTCTGAACTTACTCCCAAGAAATTCCATATGCATGTACATAGAAGCCTACCTAGTGAGTAATTCCTTGAACTGAAGAAGAGATTGACTGAGGCACTACTACTTGCATTACCCAAACATGGTATAGGGTACGATGTCTATAATGATGCGAGCATCCAAAGGCTTCGATGTCTAATGATGCAAATGGGAAAGGTGATTGCCTATGCTTCACGACAATTGAAGAAGCATGAGGTAAATTATCCTACTCATGATCTAGAGTTTGGAGCTGTGGTGTTTGCACTGAAGATATGGAGGCATTATCTTTAAGGGGAGACGCGTCACATATACACTAACCACAAGAGTTTGAAGTACGTGTTCACTCAGAAAGAGTTGAACATGAGACAAAGATGGTCGACGAAGTTAATAAAGGACTACCATCTAGTTGTTGAGTATCACCCAGGTAAGGCCAACGTTGTATTTAGCGATGGTACCTTATTGGCAAGACTTAAGGTGAGACCTACCTTACTTGATGAGATCAAGAAAGGTCAAGAAACTGACAAGAAACTTATGAAGGTCTGAGAACGCATGTTAGCGGGACTGGTGGACGACTTCAAGGAGAGAGATGATGGTCTCTTATTATTTCGTGACCGAATGTGTGTACCATCGGATAATGAGCTCCGAAAGTCCATATTAGAGGAGGCTCATTCATCGGCGTATGCCATGCACCAGGGAGGTATGAAAATGTACCGTGATTTGAAAGAAAGTTACTAGTGGTCTGGTATGAAGAGGAAAATAGACGAGTACATCAGTCGATGCCTTACTTGTAAGTAGGTTAAGGCAGAACATCAGCATCCAGCTGGGTTATTACATCCACTTTCCATTCCAGAGTGGAAATGGGAGCACGTGACTATGGATTTTGTGGTAGGACTACCACAGACAGTTAAGAACTATGATGTCGTATGGATTGTGGTTGATAGGCTCACAAAGAGTGCACATTTTCTACCTATCAACACTACCTATGCACTCGAGAGGTTAACCAACACTACAAGAAACTTAGTCAGTAATGAAAGGATATACCGTGGTTAAAACACCAAATCCCGTCATAAAAAACTTTTAGTGACGGGAAATATCTCGTCATGGCCCCTCATTACTGCTTCCGCGGTTAAAGACATATAATGACAGTATAGGTCCCGTCATTAATAAGTGTATGGTGAGAGTAAGTGTACCCTCATTAAAAACATTTTTGAAAATTGTAACCACTCCATTATAATAATAATTGTATTATTATAATACTTTTTGGTCATTAAACAATATTCAATTTTCGTTTCAAATTTGTTGTGTAATGATATTTATAACTATTATTACACATTTACACATATATACAAAAATAAAAGGTATACATAACAAACACATTTTTACTAAGAAACAACACAAGTTTTGTTTAACATAAAGCCTAGTCTGAACTAGATTAAATTGTTACAAATGGGTACCAATATCCTTTGTTACATGAATTGAAGCTGTAAACTTCAACAAATCACATTTATGCTATCTAGCTAACTTAACACTCAACTCATGGACTTCTCTCTGTTTCCTGTTCAACAGGGAACAAATTGATTGATTTTTATCTCTTGAAAGCATTTCAGATTTCCAAATCCCATGCTTCTTCTGAGTTAGAACACTTTTTGCTCTCAAACTGAGATCACATTCTGCAAAGAATTCATGAAAATTCAAACATCAGCCAAACAGAAACACACATTTGGTAAACCAACACATAAATTAAACTGTTAATAGCTTGAAAGCTTCCAATGATATAGCAGAGATGGAGACAGTTTCAGATATTAAAAGGCTTTCTTATACTATATCCCAAATCTAAACATAGGTAGAAAAATGGAATCTATTTGCTATTTCCTTACTGCATATATCAACAAATAACATATACCTATCCACAATTCTACAAATAAAATAAGAATGAAACTGTTCTTCAACTTCCTGTTTGAAACATCCTGCAACGATAAAAGTAGAGAATGAATTTCAAGATAAAAACTAAAAAACTTAAACAACCATCCAAACCTAGAGTACTCAAAACTTGTAGTTCTAAATTCAAAAAATATCAGAAAATCAGAAACTTCTACCTGTGAGACTGCTTCAATTGTGGAATTTCACAACAAGGTCTGCTAAAGAGCCAAACAAGATCTAGTGAAAGTAGAAAACATCCTTCAAAGGCAACACAACTACAAAATAAAAGATAAATGGATAAACATTATTATGCTTCAGAAAACTTTCAAAATACGACAAGGATAAATTAAGGATAAATTCGAAACAGGGAACCTGATACAGATTCAATTAACACAAGAATGGCGGACAAAATGAGTATACCTGCAAATCCATACAGGAAAAATAAAAAAAGATTTATACCCATAAGCTGCAGAACAATCACACAATTATCTATAACACAGATCTAAGGATAAATGCGACAAATGAAGAAACGAACTAGCGACGAATAAAAAAAACGAACTAGCAGCGACGAATGAAGAAAACGGAGTGGCCTACGGTTACATCCTTTCAGTTCATCCTCATTATTGGCCAAGTCAAGGACAATCGTCAGCGGTGGTGATTTTTCTTCAGCTCCACCATGTATGATTACGACTCAAGGTTGACTAAGATGCGGTGTGTTGTGAGAAAGAAATCTAATAACCCTAGCCAGAGCAGCCATCGGCGGTGATGATTTCTTCTTCAGAACAGCTCCTCCATATCCGATTACGGCTCAAGGTTGAGATGTGAAATGTTGTGCGAAACAGAGAAAGGAAATTCAATAACCCTAGTGCTCCCCTACTCCGTACATACATAATAAATACTTCCTCCGTCCCTTAAAACTTTGTCAACTTTCTTTTTTTGGATGTCCCACTAACTTTGCCACTTTCCCTTTTAAGTAATGAATTTGTGGTTTCAATTAATTCTCTTTCCTCTGCACAAACCTCAACCACACAGTTTTTACTTTGTTAATCCTCGTGCCGGTCAAACATGGCAAAGTTTTAAGGGACGGAGGTAGTATAAGACAAAGAGCCCGTTTGGAGACCCCTTTTTTCGGCTTATCAGGCTTATCAGTCAGCTTTTTCACCAAGCACGTAATTTTTACTTTCGCGTGCTGAATTGTGTAATAAGCAGAAAAAGTAAGGTTGGAGTTACTTTTCTGGCTGTATTGGCTGAAGTTACTGTAGATGACCATTTTAGCTATTTTTACATGTAATTTTTTCTTTATTTTATTAATAAAATATTTTTTTAAAATATTTTTTTCTAGAATCAACAGAATCAGCCAAAACAGCCACTTCAGCTAGAACTTCATAAATTTAAGCAGAAACAGCCAAAACAGCCGATTTTCGTGCTACCAAACGGGCTCAAAGTGTTTTAAATGCTTTAGTGCTCCGTATAAAATAAAAGCTAGCCCAATTTTTCTCCAATAATGACGGTAGAGAGTAAAAGTTTCAAATTTGGTCAAAGTTTTAGTTAGGGTTTTTTTTACTCTCATTAAAAGTAGAAAAACCACACTTTTAATGAGGGGCTTTTGGTACCATCATTAAATTCCCTCACTATTGAGTGGGTTTCTTGTAGTGCAAATTGTATGTGGATGAGATCGTGAAGTTACATGGAGTTCCTATAACCATTGTATCTAACAGGGATCCACGATTCACATCACGATTTTGGCCGAAGTTCCAAGAATCTATAGGAACGAGGTTGAAGTTTAGCAATGATTTTCATCCGCATACGGATGGACAATCTGAGAGGGTCATACAAATCTTAGAGGACATGTTGAGAGATTGTGCATTGGAGTTCCAAGAAAGTTGGGACAACCATTTAGCACTTGTGGAGTTCGCCTATAACTACAGTTATCAGGCAAGTATTGCCATGCCTCCATATGAGGCATTGTATGGGAGGAGATGTCGTACACCTTTATGCAGGGCAAAACTCGAGAGTACGGAATTGGTAGAGATCACAAAGTCAAAGGTGAAAATGATTCATGAGAGCCTTAAGACGACCCATGATAGACAGAAGAGCTATGCTGATAAGCGCCGAAGAGCCTTAGAGTTTAAGGTTGGAGATGAGGTATTCTTGAAATTCTTGAAAGAATTGGGAAGATACATAATGTGTTCCACATGTCTATGCTTGAGAAATATATACCGGATCCGTCCCACGTATTAGAGAAACCACCCGTGGAAATACGTGGGGAATTGAATTAGGCCGTGTGACCGGTGAGAATACTTGATAGGCAACTAAAGAAGCTAAGAAGAAAGAAAGTTCCAATGGTTAAGATCCTTTGGAAAAGTGACCGAGTTGAAGAAAAATACAATTTTGAATTCGGAACAATGAAATGAAACACAGCATAATATATTTTTCTTATCTCAATCTCATTTTATTTTGAAACGATTTGAGATTTGTACGGGACACAAATAATTTGTCCCAAATATAACGACACATTTTCGGAACGGAATTCAAATGTTCCAGAATGGATCAACGGGCCGGGTCTTTTGACCAGCCCTAGTTTTAACAATTTTCTTAAAAAAAAAGTAGAGCACGGCCGCACGGGTAATAAACGCTTGTAAGTTGTAACATACTCCGTTGTCCGTAGGGGCGAGAACTTGTGGGCGAAAAATAGGTTCGCGAAGTCTAAAGCAAGGAATGGATACTGTATCCTAGAATTGATTAGCGGCAAATCCGCAATCGCAACTCCAATTCTTCATCTTGTCTAACTCTTCTATCTTCTTCAGCCGGTCAAGCACGTCTCACACACCGGTACCTGGTCTCTGGTCGGCCATCAGACGGCCGGTCAGCCTTAGCCTCTAGCCAAGTAGCTGCTACTCGACAGCCTCTACTGTGAGCCATTTCTTCTTCGCCTTTAAGTTTGTTAATTGTTAATTTTTTAGTTTCATTGACATATATGATATATATGCTCTTCTCCATTTAGCTGTTTGCCTGTTTTACTGTTTATAGAATAAATTACAGTCTTATTTCCAGAATTCCAGATTAATAATTTTCAGAGATGGGTTGTTAAGTTTGTGTAACTGTTCAGACAAAATTACAGCCTTATTAAGTTTGTTAATGGTTTAGCTGTTTAAATATCATCTCTATAAATCAGTCCAGGAGGCTTTAGGTCTTTAACTCCTTTAAGCCTTTAATTAATGGTTTTGATCTTTATACTTTTCAATCTTTAAGATATGTTGGGCTTTGAGGTTTAGAATTTTATATAATTTATGGCTTTATATTCATGTTTACTTCTGATTTGATTTGACTATTTCAGTCAGCCACAGGCAAGTTTGGACATTTATTAAGAATGTGATTTGCCATTTGTAAGTTCTAATTTGTCATTTGTGAACATCATTTATTGTAGTATGAATTTGATTGTGATTTGTTATTATTAATCCAATTATTTAGTTGGTTAGTACTACATTAGTGTGGTAACTGGTAAGTTAGTAACTAGTAATCCCATTGTGAACATCTTTGATTTTTTGTTGCAACTTGCAATGAATGTTATTGTATACCTCAAAATACATTTTGTTGAATAGACATTATTATATTACATTTCGACTTTTTTTGTTGCAACATACATTATTTAATTAAATTTTGATCCCTGAATGCCAGAGCTAGATCCGCCCCCAATTGAGACGCCTGAGTTCCAGTCATCTTCGTAGTCAGAATAAGGAAGACCACGAGATAATTAAAAAGGAAAGTCAATCTGACAGACAAAACCATAGGAGTCGGGGAAGAAGGATGAAGGAAGAAGACAGTAATGTGAGTAGCACCATGGCTGCCGCCACAGTGGATACCGGCAAGGCTGACAGACCAGTATGGCTGATGAAGTGTCCATTAGTTGTCTCCAAATCATGGCAGTCTCAGGCGGCGACGGCTTCCTCCTGCTCCTCCACAGATATTCCGCTAGTTGGTAAAGTCGTTGTTTCTCTCGATCCTCTCCAACCAGAAGATTCTCACCAAGTAACATGCTTCGTTCTCTCTCCTTCTCCATCTATTCCTGCAAATCAATAATAATTTACATATATATTGGAAACCTGTCAACTATTTATCAACTATAGTATTGTTCCGGATCCATTCGTACTTTGTGATTCGAGTGATGTCTCTGAATCTGTTTCTGTTAAGAGAAATGTCTTCAATTTGTGAATTAATACTTCAAGCTTATCCTTTGAGTCATACCACACACCCTTTATTTATTTAATTTATACATTTCTTCATGGTCCAAATTCCTATCCTTTTGGTGACATAATACTATATTGCATACATTGCGTTGTGTGTCAGTGTGTGTATATCTCTCTAACACGTGTGTTCATAATCAGTTTACCATGGAACTGGCTGATAATGATGTTGGGAACATCCCCAAAGGGTACTCTTTGAATATGTTCAAAGATTTTGTACCAATGTGTATCTTCTCAGAGACAAATCAAGGTGTGCGGCTTGTTCTTGTTAATAAATTGCATTTATTTTTTATGTGTAGTAGTCGGTATATCGTCTTTACAAGTAATTTGTTAAAATATTGCCCATGATTTTTTTGGGTGGGGGTTGTTCACAGGAAAGGTTTCCATTGAAGGGAAAGTTGATCATAAATTTGACATGAAGCCTCACACTAGGAATATGGACGAATACAGGAAAATGTGTCGGGAAAGAACAAATAAATCAATGGTTAAGAACAGACAAATACAGGTGAAGCGGATTTTATATATGCTCTTTTTTATGTAACATGGATGTTATCTTTTCTAACTTTATGACATTATTTTTATTACTACCTCCGTCCCTAATAAAACTTCCAATTACGGGTTACGAAGTTTGACCAGCGATAAAGTTAAATGATCCCTGTGAAAACTCGGATTATTTTTAGTAAATTAAATATACATATTCAGAAACTACATTAAACCCGCTACAAAGCCTGCAAAAAATAATTCAATTTTTATAAATTTTTGATATATAAAGTAAGAGTTTAAGTGTGATTTAAGTTGACTCTCGAAAAGCGAAATGGAAGTTTATTTAGGGACGGAGGGAGTATTATTATTCTCATTATTTGTTTATCTTAACATCTAATTACAATTGGTTCATGTTGTTAACTAGATAATCGATAATGATCGTGGTGTACACATGAGGTCTATGCCTGGAATGATGGGTTTGCTTGCATCAACTTCTAAGGTACTCAATTAATATTCATAACCTTTTTTGGCTTTATAAGTTGGATATATGTTCTGTTATATGATGTTCTTGATTTTCGGAATGCTGGATGCTTATGTCTAGATGATTTTGTGTGTAGCAGATATACGTAAAAGAATTGTCATATTTGTGTACTCGAATCCCTAGCTAACAGGTGTATCAAGAGTAAAAAAGTTAAAACATAACCCCTTATTGATAGACTAGGAGAGTACGCACTACGTGCGATTTTTGCCCAACGTATGATTATAAATTTACGAAATTTAGAACTTAGAAGTATAACTTTTGAGTGAAATAAAAAGAATAACATTTGGGCCCAACGAATGCTTAAAATTTGTAGACCACAATATGGGCTTTTGCTCTGTAGATGATGTAGATGCCCTTAATGGATTCCAAATCAATATCATACAAGATTAACATTTCATATTTTTGAGGATAAATAAATAAAATCATTTTAACATATATTTGGGGTAGTATATACTTACCTCCATAATGTATGTAATACAGGATATTAAACATTTCCAAAACCTTTGCAAAGGGAAGCTGGTTTAGTAAAGGTGAAATCTCCATATCTTAAACACTCATATGATATGGATGCTGAGGCGGCATTTATAAAAAGAATTATATTGTGTTGAAATTAAAAGAGAAAATTCTGAAAAATGTGCAACCATAGTATCAGTCATATACTTATATGACGTAACATGTGTTTCAAAACACAGATTTAATCAAAGTAACTCTGGTCATATTAAATCAAATCTGATAAATTAAAAGAGAAAAATAGCAAGCATTTGTGTGGTTTGGCTTATGGTGGTCTGTAATGAGCAACAGTTGAGGTGTCTATTTTGTTACCAATACCCTGTATTAACTAAAGAGTTAAATTGAAAGAATAAAAATAAAGTTAGATTCATTCGAATAGTAATTGAAGAATCAAGAATATGATCTAGATTCTAGGATGTGCCTAAAAGTCATCATCATCATAATCATTATCATTACCCCAGTACCGCAAAGGCTCCCACCTCCAGTGGGGTAAGGGGGGTCGGATGTACGCAGTCTTTCCCCGGGAGAGACTGTTAATCTTGTATATAACTGTTAATATTGTAAAGAGACTATATTTCAAAAAAAATGGTAAAATTTGTGTGGTTCTAAATCATTCTTATTTTATTCTTACTTTATCAATTCAATATCAACCACATATACCCATTTCTCTTAATAATTGTGCCACCTCCTCATGTTTCATTGTTAGTCGGACAAAGGTAGTATTTGATAATTGACAAATAACGACCGACTTAGGCGTTTCCGCAAACATTTTGTGAATATGATTAATTTTACTAAATCGAAGTGGAGATTGGTGATGAAGGTCGAAATCACAGGTTGAATATTAGGAAGAAGCAGATGCAGTTACAGTAAATGTAACTAACCGTGCAAATATGTTTAGCAGCACTGGTTTGTTTCAAAGTTTATTTTCAAATTTCAGAAGAAGAACCAATAGCAGATCCATTACAAACCGACAAACCGTATAAGATTAAGTTCTAAGGCAATGGAGTACTTGTAATATATGAATACCTGGTTTGTGGAATGTAACTGTAGCAGATCAAATGAGTACGAATAATTTGTTCTCATTTCTCGCCCTGATATATAAGAATTATACTGAGATGCGATGTTGTTTAGGGATTGAATAACTGCTGAATGAATGAACATAAGCTAAGTAACCGATTAGCGGATAGCTATCTTGTTAACGGGGTTGTGAGTTATTTGGATGGTTAAATGAAGTTTTAAATGGCAAAAGAACCATTTTAACGTCGATGGTTCTTATTATATGAGCAGAGATGTTTGCATATTCTAAAATTTCTACATTGAACACAAAATTCAAGGACAAACCGAGCAATAAAAACTGATTAATGAGTAAATGACAAAGACGCTGTTTTTTTTTTATCTGTGTGCAGGAGAAAAAGAAAGCAACTCCAGTTAAAGGACCTGAAGTAAAAAGAACTAGAAGGGATCGGGGAGAACTGGAGGATATCATGTTTAAGCTTTTCGAAAGGCAACCTAATTGGACGTTGAAGCAGCTTGTCCAAGAAACAGACCAGCCTGCGGTTTGTTACTACAATAATATATCTTCATCATTTTATTTCATCTTGATGAGATATAACAAAATATATTTGGATGTTGCATGTCCTGATGAGATATCTCAAATTCCATCCACCATCAAGTAGTTGTATCAAGTTGCCTGCTGTATAACGTTAAAACATTATCAATTTGTTGATCTGTTAGGGTCACTTTGGGTCCTGGAAAATATTAGGGAAAAAGTAGGAAGGTAAATATGGTTAAAAATTAGAAAGAAAAAATATGGGGAAAATATAACATCTGCTAAGATCCATGATTTGATCTTGATATTTGTATATAATTGTTTATTTGACAGAAATTGCCCTAAATGGGAGTAGAAACAGTATGGTTTTCTAGAATAGGGTTATTATGTTTGCCCCATAATAGTAGTAATTATTGTCATGCTTGGGAAATGCTGTCAATTGTGTCATTAACACTGCCACATTAGTGTTGCTATACTGTGGCATTAATTTACTCCTATTTAGAGATAAAAACATAGTATTTCTATGTAGGGAAACCACATCTTTACTCCTAAACACTGAAATATAAGTATATATGAATTTACAAAGAATATTAATTGTATTTGATTTTCATTGGCCAAACTTGAGAAATAACTTCCCTTGGTTTTTTGTATTTAATTTGCCTGCGGTCTAAACATACCCTTAATTCATCACATGCATCACATGCTCCTTATAGAGCATTTTGAAATGCTCCATATATGTTTCCTTAATTCCTTGTCCTTCTTGTGCAGCAATTTTTGAAGGAGATCCTAAATGAGCTGTCAGTGTACAATAAGAGGGGAGCAAACCAAGGCACATATGAGCTGAAGCCTGAGTATAAGAAATCTGCTGAGGACACTACTGATGCAGACTAGATGTCTTATAAAGAAACAAGTGAACTTTGTATTAGTAAATTCCACCGGTAATTGTACTAATGCTTTTGTATTTAACCAGATAAATTTGCTGAATATTGCTATTATTATTATTATTATTATTATTATTATTATTATTATTATTATTATTATTATTATTATTATTATTATTATTATTATTATTATTATTATTATTATTATTATTATTATTATTATTATTATTATTATTATTATTATTATTATTATTATTATTATTATTATTATTATTATTATTATTATTATTATTATTATTATTATTATTATTATTATTATTATTATTATTATTATTATTATTATTATTATTATTATTATTATTATTATTATTATTATTATTATTATTATTATTATTATTATTATTATTATTATTATTATTATTATTATTATTATTATTATTATTATTATTATTATTATTATTATTATTATTATTATTATTATTATTATTATTATTATTATTATTATTATTATTATTATTATTATTATTATTATTATTATTATTATTATTATTATTATTATTATTATTATTATTATTATTATTATTATTATTATTATTATTATTATTATTATTATTATTATTATTATTATTATTATTATTATTATTATTATTATTATTATTATTATTATTATTATTATTATTATTATTATTATTATTATTATTATTATTATTATTATTATTATTATTATTATTATTATTATTATTATTATTATTATTATTATTATTATTATTATTATTATTATTATTATTATTATTATTATTATTATTATTATTATTATTATTATTATTATTATTATTATTATTATTATTATTATTATTATTATTATTATTATTATTATTATTATTATTATTATTATTATTATTATTATTATTATTATTATTATTATTATTATTATTATTATTATTATTATTATTATTATTATTATTATTATTATTATTATTATTATTATTATTATTATTATTATTATTATTATTATTATTATTATTATTATTATTATTATTATTATTTATTAATTCCAAATAGTACACGCACAGGGCATGTAAATGGGTAGCATGATGGAGCAACGATGTTTTCAGTCCCAGTCTCCCAGATAGACCAGGCACCAGCCAATACTAGACTTAAACATATCCGATAAGATTAGCATTTGGACAATTATAAAATACACAGAGATCAGACATTTACAGATTAGATCAATTTTAAACAAATCAGATCGGATCAGATCAGACTAGCAAATTTTAGTCCAAAATAAAAATCCTGAGTGTAGCTAGATGCATTCTCTCTGGAATATAAAGATTTTCCATTATTGATCTCTTAAACGAACACCCACCGTAAGCATGCCCATTTACATTCCATGGTTTCAAATTGCGGATTGCATTACAGTGTTGCGGTTGTGGATTGCGCTACGTAATGTTATTAGTCAGTTATTACTAATATATTAAATCCCATTGTTTTAAAATTTTCTTAGTGGTGGTATTGTGACATATACGAGTATCATTTAGTTGACTAAAATGATGTCTGTGATTTTAATCAACTTTAGAATGCTTACACTTTTAATGGATTAATATCATACTACGGTACTACGTATTTGTGATTGACTCAGTATCTATCGACAAGTTATGGACCTGGGCCGGTTCCTGTTCGGGCCTGGACCCGGCCGGGCTTTTTTTGTGGGAAAGGTGGAACTGGAACCGGCCCGGGTAGCTGGGCCACCCGGCGGTTTACCGTGCCGGTTCCGGGCTAAATGTATTTTTTTTGTTGTCTAATAAATTTAAGAGAGTTGATATATAAAAAGTTCAAGTATATTTATTTGAAATAAGTACATTTAGGACTTGAGAAAAATTAAATAAATGAAATAAATTTTCTAATAAATAATCAATCGGAATCTCCGCCTTCGGTTGTTTCCTCCATAAAGTGGCGGGTGGGGGTGATGGTCATTTCTTGAGTTCTACGTTGGGCCTTCAACCAATCGTGAAAGCAAACAAGCGTCTCAAGAGAGTTTGAGCTCAATCTCGTTCTATAATCAATTAGAACGTTGTCGGTCGCACTAAATTCTTGTTCCTCGGCAACTGTTGATACCGACATTGCTAGCACTTGCTTTGCCCATCTTTGATAAAATCGGGAACATTCTTTCTTTTTCCTTCCACCACTTTAGAACGTCAAAGTCATCCACTACTTCATAATCAACAGAAAATGTTTAGATACTCCCTCCGTCCCGCTAAGATTGTCCCATACCAAATTTGGTAAAGTTTGTGTGGTTCTAAATCATTTTTACTTTATTTTTACTTTATCAATTTAATATCAACCACACAAACCCACTTTTCTTAATAATCGTGCCATATTCTCTTGTCCCAATCTTAGTGGGACGGAGGTAGTATATCGCAAGCTCGTTAACTGAGCTTTGTTCATTAGCGGGAGTTGTTTTGCTTTTTCATAAGATTGCCAAATGCAGATTTAAAAAGTAATTTTCCTTTAGATGAAGAAGATGGTCGCGTCACGGGAGGGAGTGCATTACCATATTGTGCATAAAAATTTATTATATAATTGATTAAATAAATTACTAACCTCGTTGAATTCTTGCTTAGGGTCTATGGGATTATCGTCGAACTCTTGAGTTGGAAAAAAGAAGCATAATAGTAATCTATACAATTTCCCAAATAAGCAAGTTTATAACGAGGATCAAGAATAAATGCAATACCATATATATGCAGAATTTGTGAATAATATTTTAAAAACTTTTCTTTCATGAAATCACAAAAATAACTAACGTAAGCGGCATCTGAAAATTCACAAAACGCACCGGCGAGATTAACCGCTTCAACAAAAAATTGGTTTCCGATAGGTGTATAAACATGACTAAAAGTTTGAGTTGCACTGTTAAAATATACCAAAATATTCACAATTTTTTCGCAAGAGTCAATGTCGGCCGAGTTTATATTATAGTTACATGATTGTCTTAGAAAAGCAGGAAAATGCTCTTTATATGTAATAAGTACTTTAATTAAGCTATAAGTACTATTCCAACGAATAGTCAATTTTTTGGAAAAACACAATAATTGTCGCGTCTATCCTTCAAATATTGCCGTCATTGCATTTTTAGTGGAGTACTAGCCCAAATCATTTTAATTCCCCCCTTCACTACCTCCAAAGCATTTCCTAATTTGGCTAGCCCTTCTTGTACACACAAATTTCAAATATGACATGCACAACGTTGATGAAAAAACTACCCATCAATGTAGAAGCATCACACATTTCACGCAATCTAGGTATAGCAGCAGTATTATTACTAGCATTATCAAAACCTATGGCAAACACCTTATCAATCAAACTATACTCTATTAAAATACGCTCAATGAGAAGATAAATATTATCAGCAATGTGTCGATCATTAAATTCACGAAAAACAAAAACACGTTTATGCATATTCCAATCATCATCAATAAAATGTGCAATGAGACCCAAATAATATAAATGATGATAAGTATCCTCCCAAATATTGCTACAAATACTAACACGTCCATCAAAGTTTGCAAAAAACTTTTTGTAGTTTTTCCTTTTCCAAGTTATATTGCCTTATAACTTCTTTTTAATCGTTTTGCGACTATAATTTCTAAATTGAGGATTTAAAGTACCTTGAGCATAATCTCTTAGAGCAAGACTTTGCGAAAAAATATAAGGTAAATTTTCTTCAACAATTAAATGAGACATACCAATCAAATGTTTTTTTATCATCATAGGAGAAATTACCAAAGGGTTGAGAATTTGCAAACCTCGATATTTGTGTTTGCTTCCCCTTGCCTTTGTCTATTTTCGCATACTCCACCAAGTGTGCGGCCTTAAGATGCCTTTTGAAGCTCCCATATCTGCCGAAAGTTCCCAAGCTATACTCTTTGTTGCAATGATTGCAACTTGCGTACCATTTATCGGTTTTTTTGTATTTCATCTTTTGTAAAATTATTTTCAATAATAGGAGATTTAGATTTCTTACCAATTTGGGATGAACCACCCTCGTCCTCCAACTCGTGCTCATCATCCGGGGTGCCATCGCCCCCCCCCCCCCCCCCTCGTCCTCCTCCGCATCCTCATCCTCGAGCTCTTATTCGTCAATCGGGATGTGTTGTTGGAAAAAGCGCCCATCATTTTGGGCCAATAGGTTTTGTAGTTGCTCATCGGACATCGCATCCCCATCTCTCCGTTGGTAATCCGTTTCAAAATCATCTTAACTTTGAGAAGAAGACCCGGCCTGCATTTTACCTTTGCCTTTGCATGAAGTAGGATGAGTTGTCACAATCTTCTTCTTTCGGTTGCGTTAGAGATTACCCATATCTACAGAATGTCTACCACGGTCCATCTTAAAAATGTAACAAATATTAAATCGTATCAAATATTTTATATGAGTACAATAGTAATAATAAAATGTGACTAATAAAATTATGGCAAATTCGAACTACAATTTACTTAAAATGTTAAAATGTGACCATAAAATTATAGCAAATTTGAACTAAAATATGAGTATATGAAATGTAACAATTTTTTTGCTTGAAAAATAAATAATTCGAACTACTTATAATTAATACTTTAATGAGAAATGCATTAATTAACAAATTAAGTAATAGGGAAATGACCAATGTAACAATTCACTAGTTTTTTTAAGCATTGACTAAAAATGAGAAATTAACTAATAAACTAATTAAATTAAAAAAAGAATAAGTTCTCTCGCGGCCTGGTACCCTCCTTCCTATGGTTTTGGAGTTGTCTTCGCTCGTCGAAGTTTGAGTCTGCAATTGTTGCCGATTGATTGGCATCGTGAGTACGTGGTTTTATTCTTTTCCTTTCTTGCGATTAAGTTTCAGTGGAGCGGCAACACAAGTCTTCGTGAGGGAGAAGCCTTTTTGCTTTAAGCCGGTTTGCTTGATTCTGGGTTGCGCTTGTCGGTTACCATAGAGAAGATGATGACTACTAGTGGTGATTTCGGTTCGAGTGTGGGACGAGGAGAGTTGCACGGGTTTCGAATAGGCCATATTTCGATCGAAAATGGAGGATCAATTAGAGAGGTACCAGTAGTACGGCCTCCTCCTGAACCACCGCCATAGGTTGTACGAGAAGCTAGAGTTCGTGAAAGTTTTCCAATAAGTTTTCATTATTTTGTCATTTGTTTTCTTGTTGTCATTTGGATCTATGGGAATATGGATGGCTGTGTCAATCCCGTTACATGGTTAGCGATCGTGTTGCTGAGGTGACCGTTTCTAAGTCTGATCATAGGGTTTACAGTCTTTGTTGGAGTCTAGTTGGTGTTAGATTTGTTTTTCCTTTGATTGATATAATGATTCTGAAACTTATGATATGAATCAAGGCTAGTTTTGGATGATAAAAAAAACTAATAAACTAATTATTAACTACTCCACTAATATGAAAAATGAGAAATGTAACAATTAACAACTTTTTTTACTTTGATGAGAAATGTACCAATTAACTAATAAACTAATAGGAAAATGAGAAATGTAACAATTAACAACTGTTTTTACTTTAATGAGAAATGTACCAATTAACTAATAAACTAATAGGAAAATGAGAAATGTAACAATTAACAACTTTTTTTACTTTAATAGTTTAACGAGAAATGTACCAATTAACTAGTATTAATGTAAGTAATAGAAAAAATGTATGAATGTGTGACTAATATATACTCCGTAATATATTGTTTATAGTATATAATATATAAGTATATGGGTTTTTTACAAGAATATTACTAAAATAAAACTTATTTACATAAATATGACTATTCATTACTACAATGTGGTGTTGTGGTCAATGGCGGATCCAGGAAAAATATGTATTGGGGGCGCTATCTTACACTACATCTCTCCCACCGGACTGTTAATGTTTCTTTTTTGTTTGTCCCAAAACTTTGTCACTTTCATTTTAAAGCAATGAACTTGTGACTCTGTTCATTTCTATCTTGTCTGCACGAATCTGAACCACACAATTTTTACTATTCCACTCCCTCCGTCGTTTATAACTTTGTCAAGATTGACCGGCAAGGAGATGAATACACTACAAAAAATCCGCGTTGTAGTCACAGACTTATATAAGGTAAAAACGGTGTGGTTGAAATTTGTGCAGAGGAGAGAGAATTATCTGAAATCACAAATTCTTTACCCAAAAAGGAAAATGACAAAATTAGTGAGACAATCATAAAAGCAAAATTAGCAAAGTTTTAAGAAACTTAGCAAGTATTCGAATAGTATTTGGCAGACTTGAGCGGAACGCACTTAGTACTACGTATAATTATAAGTTAGCATATAAGTTATGCTTACTCCATATGATTTAGCATATAAATTACGGAGTACTAGAATTTATATGTTTAGTGATTTTTTAAAGTAGGAATTTAATATTTCTAATGCATTTTATATAGAAATTGATCAATATAGTACTAAAACATATATAA